CGCGAAATCATGATTATTGTCAATTCCAGAGAGAGGAAGAAAAAAATACAAACGTGCCTCGGGACAAGATCCAATTACCAATTGTCCAATTTCGCGTTTGCGCGCGTCGATTCGTCCGGAAAAGGATTTCCTTAATTTCCTTAACGAACAACCGTGCTCCTCGATCTCTATATGTCCGAATACATTCGCCAGCCGTACGATGCCACGATCGCAACATTCGACATCGGTTTTCCACCAATCGCACGCGTGCACTCTTACTTTTTTCCTCGCTCACTTTGCGCTCTTTTCCTTCTCATCCCTCCTTTTCTGCATTTACAAAAAGAAAAAAATAATACCGAATTTTGCGCAGCGTCTCATTCATCGTTTCGCAATTTCGCATCAGTCTCCCTCGCTCTTGTGTGTCGGCGCCCGAAAAAAAACGAACGATCCGATTTGTTCAGCCAATAAAATCACCCAGCCCGATCAATCACCGTTAATTTCGATCCCGGGGACGCCCATTCTTTTTGCGTGAGAGTTAAATTATAAGCGTCCGTCGTACTCGCAACGATCCGCAATCGCGCACCGATGCCAGTGGATAAAGTCGTTTGTCGATACAACAAAATCACTTTGCCGACTACGTATCCGCTTCTTCCCTCCCTGTATGTACATATATTTATACATCAAAATCAAATTATACAAACACAACGGAAAAGAACACAGTGTAAGATATTGCCGAATTTTACAGGGAGAGAGCTTGCGCTATTTTATTTCTTGCGACAAATTTAAAGACAACCGCAAATGATTTGTTGGCTCAACAAATCTTCTCTCGTGCATCTCATTTTTTTTCTCTTCCTCGTCTCTCGCCCTCTTCTGTGTTGTGTGTGTGCGTGTGTATGTGTGTGTTTACATGTGCATTCCTTTGCTATTCATTAAGAAGAAAAAAAGTGACAGAAACTAGCATGCAACAACAAATTGAAATTAAATATCGCGCATATCACATACAACTTTCATTTAACGTCTCCGTTAACGTATTCAATACCATTTGTACACATGATGCAATTTATTATTATTATAATACGCGGTTAATTAAGTAATGCGAAAAGTTTGCAGCCGATGCGCCTCTCGGAAAAAGATTTCTCTAATATTCATTTCGCTAACAGCTTTTTATGCAACAATAAAAAAGATCACATCATAACATCAACGTGTAGTGCAATCTCCACAACGCGGAATTCATAATTCACGAGCGTCAATTGAATTATGCGGAACAGCGTATAAAAAAATATACATATGTATATGCAAATGGCGCAAGTGAAATCTTTTGAATCATTTTAATAATGAGCGTCGCGTGTCAATTCGCGGCTGCAACATTCATAAAACCTTTTTACGCTGTTACGGATCAATTTGCAGCATTTTTAAATTGAATCCGGCAACGGTAATTATTTATATGCATGATTAAAATTACCGAGATTGCACTTCTCGTTGAAATTGGAAACAGGTACTGGTGAAGAGTTCAATGTTTTCATTAATGTTATTTCGCCAACACCGAGTTTGACCGATAAAAAAATATGGAAAATATGAAAGATTCTTATGTCAATTCTACGTTGGACAATTATTTTTCGGAAAGTAGCTCGATCTTCGTGAAGCGCGAATAAATCCTGTCAAATCGAAGATATGTTTGACATATCAAATATATCGCGCTAATCGAGGAAATATGAAAAGAGTTCGACGATAAGCATCAACGACCAATTGAGCAAATAATCACAGAAGCTATATGTGTGTAACTGATAATAGCACACATAATTGCGGTAATCATTATTGTACGTAATATATAGCATAGCTGCTATTTTAAGCAGAAAGTTAATATGTTACTAATTATAAAAGATAAGCTCTTTATCATAATGAAAAAAAAGATCTGTTAATAAAACACTGAGAAATATTTTCATACGATGTGTTTAAGTAAATTTTTGAGATTTAACTTGAGTTTAACCTTTCCAAGTGGGATTTAGGAATGCAAAATTGTTAGCGCAGCGGTAAATTTATTCGAATTTCATTCATTAGCGAACAGATATATTTGTATTATGAATCATTATTAGTGGAGAAATATAAAAAAGTCGGTTTCTAGTTGACGAGCGAAGCTGCATAAGATTTACATTTCTCCAAACGTATTCTACAGCTGATGATCTTCTGAATTAATTGTCAGTTTACAATAATCATATGAATAAAAGAGAGAAAGATATTCAGGGAAAATCGTAATATATACAAAGCTGACGAAAGACACATTAGCGAGCTTAATGACGACATAAGGCTTGAAATTTCTTGAAGCGAACCTGCCGAAATGAATACGTTTCTATCACGTCGACGTCGGTAAATGGACCTAACAAGGATAGGATTTGATTCGTTCTCGATGATGGCGCGGTGATTATGTCAAAGGAGGACATCTGTATCCCAACGAACGGGGAGGCTAACGAGCAACGCTAATGCGAGAAGAACTCTATCCTCGCAAGAGAATGAACGGCGTAATATCGGATCTCATAAAATTCCGAAGCTCGTCTCGTAGGCAAATATGCTTCTACCGATCCACTATGATAGTCTTAGATAAGACCTTAAAGCGTTCGCACGATAGTACGAAGGGCGAATGCACGTTAACTGATTTGTTAGGAAATGTTAATCCGTAAAGGGAAACGCGTGCTGCGATCGATGGTAATGAATGAGCTAAATTTTCAAGGCCGTAATATGTAAAGTCTCGTGAGAATACAGGTTATACGAACGCACAAACGAATGATAATGCACGTGACCCGTGGAATTAAAATAATTTATCTTCGGGATTTAAAATTCTGAACAATTTTTTATTCAACTTGCTGAAATGCCTTATTAATTTTTTTGATAAATTTTCCATAAGTAACATTTCGCGACATTTATTATCAAAGTAAAGGCAGGATTTTAAGTAAGCGCAGGATTTTATATATTTTCTATAAATAATACCGCTGAGGAGACTAGATTCACCTGAAACGTTCGAAATTTATAGTTACAGATGAGCCGCGGCTAATTCTTCTAAGCAGAACTGGCGACCCGGGCCCGGGATATACCGTGCCATTACCGAAATGTCGAAGTATTACGGAAATGAATAGCCCGCGATGCGTTAAGCGCATTATAACGATCGGAAATTACGATGATTAGCGAGCCGCGCGGTGGCGGTGTAACGCTGGTCCGTTCGTAAAGTTCCCCCGGCAGGCCCTCCTTATTAAAGCCCCGTGACGCGCGCTCCACGGAACGATCGCGTCCCCATAAAAATTTCTCTCTTCCCAAATTGAGCCGTGAATTACAAGCCGCGGCCTCGGCGCGCGTTTGCGCCCCTAAACGACTCTTTTAGCCCGCCAAGTAGATACTATAGGTGCTATTAACGCGCCGGGCAGTTTATACACACCTAATGCATCGTTATACGGCCCCGGCTGCCAGACGCAAGTACGACTCCGCGGAAGTGTATAAATTACCGTCGGTATTTCGGTAAATACGCGTAATGTCAACGCAATGGTTTCGGCATTAATAGACGATGACGGACGGGTTCGTTGAACCACCTTACTCAAATAAGACCGCGATTGCCAGACATATGTGTTTTTTGGCGGTGACCCGACTCGTGATGCGTCCCTAGTACTGCCTATCATATTTTTGTCAATCATTCTGGTCAAAAAATATACAGCGTACATATAAATCGTGCAATTAATAATGATATTTTGGATTTAACATTGTACTTCATCGCGACATACTAAAGAATGCTGTGTCAGGATAATGGGAACCATAAAGAAGTTGAAAAATTGTATAAGCATCCGACATCCGAAACAACGTCTGGAAAAGAATCATTCGTCGTTGCATTGGTATAAAATTTCGACACGTAAAATCGGACTTGAACGACGAAACGGTTGGCAAGTCAAAATCGCTTCGTATCCGGAATTTTCCATTAACTCTCGTTGTCGCAGAAAGTTGATCGGACAAACGTCCGGCGGAAAACAGCACCTGCGTCGGACGCGCTGGCGGTAGATAACGGCAGCCGATGATGCCAGACGAGTGAATCTGCGCGATACAGCGCATAACGAGTCTACTGATGAAAAAGAAAAAGAGATGACGCCGCGTTTCGCGTGGGCACACGGTACGGCGCGATCAACGAAGTACCACACAGCGATTGAGGCGGAAAATAAATCGCTAGAGAGAAGGCGAAGGTGTGCGTCGGCGCTACGGAGTTCGCGCGACCACCTACGCGTTCCACGACGCCAAGGAAGAGCCGCAAAAAGGTGGCGAGAGGATTTTATATATAAAATAAAAAAAGAAAATATACATAAATATATAACGGCGGAACAGAGCGACACTGAGAAAATAGAAAATGCGATAACGGTCGGAGAAATAATGAACTTTCTTCTCCCGTAAATGCAATGCATGATGAATCTAGAGCGCAATTCCGGACTAATAATTAATTGATAATATAAAAATTTATGGAAAGTATTGTAATGAGCTAACTGGAAATGTCAAAATCGCCCGATTACTGCAATCAATCAATCAATGCGATTATCCAAATGAGAGAGAGCAATGTCGCGAATATACAAGTGCCTAAATATGCAGCATCGAGGGACATATAATCACCTATGCATAGAATAGTTTAAAAATCATTAAAAAAGACAGAAAGTGAAATCTTGAAATGCGAAAGTAAAAGCAGGTTATATCGGTGTCATCTCGATTTCGAACCTGTGTGACTGCTTGAGAGACGAAATCTAAATTACACAAAATATAAATTACATTTGTTTCCCATAAGAAAATCTGCCGTAAAACTGATGTAAACCTGATTCTTTTTAAGGAATAAAATATCGTCGAAGATTAGCTCGATTAAATAAATGTAGTTGTATAAATTAAATTTCGCAAAGGAAAAAAAGAATCTCGAGATTATCTCTGGAGAGTTAACATTGAACATACTTCCTATGTCAATGATAAAATACAATATTGCAAAATATGCAATTTCACATTGTCATACGAGATTATTACAAAAAATAACAATGTTAAAATAGGTTCTCATGCCTATTGTCAGTATTCTAAGTTCATTTATTAATTTAAAGACCACAGAATGAATTTAATTTTACCGACGGCAAATGACAGCTTCGCCACCTTTGACCAGGTATCTCTGTTTTTTTGCATGACAAGTGCGAATTAATTATGAGCGCAGCAGCAACGGCAAAAAGAAACTCTATAGAATTCTATATAGAAACGATCGGCAGACAGATCAAAAAAGATTTGGTAGAAGCGCACAACTGATCTATATAGTAATTTAAAATCCTATATAAAATAATATAACGAATCATCCATGCGAGAAATATGGATTTTTCTCGATTCTATGATTTCTGTAAATATTTCAACTTTTTATTACTTTTTTTGTTCATGCTGATATTTAAATGACAGTAATATTTAATAACAGGAGACGAATATGAGATTATATGTCCCATACTATTTCTTGTAACATAATCACTGTACTATAAACTGATCGGATAATTAATAACTTTCATGTAAATCACATAGTTTATCATCATCTAGTACTATACTTCATGACGTAAGATACTTTCAGTAAATGGTATTGTATGAACCATGTATGTCAGCTTTGCATCTGCCAAAGCTCTTTAAAAAAAAGAAATACAATCCAGACAAGAGAGAAGACGAACGAGACGAGAAACAGAGAGAGACAAAGAGAAAAAGAGAATGAGAGAGCGAGAGAGGGAGAGTTCTTCGATATACCCAGCAGCGAAAACACGAGATTCTTGGCTCCGCGTTCGACTCCCGGATAATACAGGTATCGATAACATTGACGATGACAATAATAATAATTAAAATTATAATAATCGCAATAATAAGGAATAATAATAAGTGACAATAATAATAGTGGCAAAATATTATAATAGCGATAATAATAAATTCACCATGTTAACGCCGGATTTGTGTCACATTTATAACATTTTTTTCAAGACCAGACAATGAACGTCACAATAATGTAATAATAATTAAGATAATATATAATAATAGTAATATAATAAACATAATAATACAATAATAATAAGATCTAGTTAAAGTTTTTTTCGATCTATATATAGACATAGAGCTTTCGCGAATGCTACCGCCATTTCGCGCGTTTTCATATACATATATATATATCCTTTTTCTATTTATGTATAATAATATATTTCCATCTATAGACTCGTGTGCATATATACATATATATTTATGAATACTTACTCTTTATACAGAAGGGGTTTTTCGCGTGAGGGGGGAACTGTCTTGCTGTCTCGCTAGGATTTCGCACGCGCTTTTCCAATACGCGATCTCTCTTCGGTGTGCGCCCTGTCTCCCATTTTATATATATATATATATATATATATATATATATATATATATATATCTCTTAACGTTACCATTTCTACAAATTTTTCTACATTAATAATATTTTTCTCATAGATTTAATATTAATTGCAACTCGTAACGCATATATACGCATAACATTTGAACAAATTTTAATCTTAAATATTATCGTAAAATAGACTTAATATTATAGACCTAGTACAACGTGACACATCTCTCCACTTTTCGCATGTTTCCTGTCATGCCGGATACTTGACGAGCACGCGAGGACATATGAAAGCCTCTATTAATCTTATACATAAATTTGCGAGTTCGTAGATTCTCTATTCTCTTCTATTGAATACAATTTGAATTTCAAATTATTTATTTGAATTTGAAATCCAATTTGAATTTTGAGTTTCTGCAAGTGGTTCCAACTGCACTAAACTCTAATAACAAATTTTTTTCAATTGATACGTAGTAAATGTTTGTTATATTATTTTTGTTATATTATTATTATAAGTATTGAGTTTTTCAATCTAATTTCAATAAAAATAATTTTCCATCTATCTTTAACAAATAGCTATTATCTACCAGTTATTATGTTTTTTAATAATAACATTGTTTTCTTTTGAAAATGAAACAATAATTTTTTTAGACGATGCAAGCTATCAAGTAATAAAAATATATCATATCCGTAACTTTAAATTTAAGCTTATTTATGTGATTAATGTTAATATAAAGTTTTCATATATGTAAGCCTTACATTTTTGATATTATGGGAGATATGATATTAAATAGAAATTTTAAAATTATCCATATTCCCGCACTCCTGTATTTCTCTGGAATGTCGTTATTTACGAACAAAAATTTTTGAGATAAATATCAAGTTCAAATTATAATCTTAAAATAAAGTCTCATTAATATAAAAAATAAATAAAATATTTTCCACCTTCCTCTGCACAAAGTTTTAAATCGACGTTTAAAATCCAAAGATCTTCTGAACTTTAAAAATATTTTTAAATTTTTATATTTCACTTTATTTTGTATACTTCTTGTTTCGAATTCCATTTACATATCTACATATTACATATTTACGCTTTCATCTACATATATGTCTACAATTTTGTGCAGGTTCCTAATAATTTAATATTTAAACTGAATTATCTCTTTTCATTCTTTTTTTTATAGGAGCTTTAAAGTTTTTTAGAAAATTCTTATGCATTACTATGTGAGATAGCACGTCGGCGTTTATACGGATATTTCATAACAAAAATACGTGTGATATCAACGACAAAGCATTTCACGAAACTATGCGAGCTCACATTAACGGAAGGATGCATTAACAAGCTGTTTAGATGACGTCAGACATCCACAACCATTTCTGTTCTCTCTTCTCTTTTTCTCTCACTTATTTTATTTTATCTCTCTCTTTCTAAGCAATTTTATTATCCTTTGGCCTGCGAGATTAAGACTCAACGCGAAAGTTCTGGACAGAGAATACAAGTTTATAGATTCTGTAAAGAAGATGTGGATGATATCACAGATTTGACCATGAAGATCCGGATTTTCATGGTCAAGTCTGTGATATCATCCACATCTTCTTTACAAAATCTATAAACTTATTTATTGCTCGAAGTATGTGCGAAATATATTCTCTGTTTTCTTTTTGACATTTTTCTCTTTTCCTTGACTTCAATATACATAATTTAAATTA